GCACTGACTGGTAGGTTAGCTTGTTGCTGGGGTCTGGCCGATCAGGACTGAGCGAGACAGGCTTAACATGCCCTGGAGCCCTCCCATGGTCCCTCCTCAGCTAGCCAACCTCCCACATCCCTCCCCGGCTCTGACATGCACTGGTGCGGTCCCTCAGCCTGGCCTGTGCCCTCTTGCAATCCGGGACCCCTTGGGGCATGTTGGAAGGCCAGTTTCAGCCCAATCCTATAGGCCAGGCCAAGGGACGCCACTAGTGCACAAATTCGTGCACCGGGCCTCTTGTAAAGAAGTGTCGGTTGAAAAACCAGTTCTTTTCCAGCTCCTTCCCTAGCCACATTCTGGGCCTTCCAAGACCTACCATCTTTTCACTGTCCCTCATCACCCCTAATGTCCTCAGCATTCTCCGTATCTAACTTAAATTCCATGCTCCATCATCACAGTGATTCCCTGTTCTAGGTTTGCTTCATTGATCCCCCTGTTAACACCTGAGCCCTGATAACATCCAGAACTTTGCCCCCTGTGGCTGGAGACCCTGCAGACTGCTCAGATCCTAACCACTAGCATAGATTCTTAGAGCCACCCCTATTCCATTTATTTTCTAATTCTCCTAAATATCGTATTTTCTCCCCTCTCTCTCCTGCACTTCAGCTCATGACCTGGTATATGCTCACAGAGAACATTGAAGCAGACAGAACTTTCCCATGTACCCAGCTCCTGGCATCTGTACCCTGCCTTGTGTCAACTCTCTTGTTACAGAGCAACCCTGTACTTCCATCTAACCCCAAGTCCTGCTATGGGCATTGGGGGCCCGTTTTCAACTTATCAAATGCATAACTCAAGCAAATCCTTCCCTCTGTTCTGCATCACCAATCCTCCCTCTATGCAGTCATTTCTATTGGTGTTCTAAATGCTGTCTTAAAAATATATAAATCTGCCCTGACTGGTTTAGCTCAGTGGATAGAGCGTCGGCCTGTGAATTGAAAGGTCCCAGGTTTGATTCCAGTCAAGGGCATGTACCTTGGTTGCGGGCACATCCCTGGTGTGGGATGTGCAGGAGGCACCGATCTAAGTTTCTCTCTCATTGATGTTTCTAACTCTCTATCCCTCTCTGTCAGAGCGTGCAGGAGGCAGCCGATCAATGACTCTTCTTTCATCATTAATGTTTCTATCTCTCTCTTCCTCTTCCTTCCTCTCTGAAATCAATAAAAGTGTAATTTTTTTTACTATGTCTTTATTGATTTCAGAGAAGAAGGGAGAAAGAGAGATAGAAACATCAATGATGAGAGAGAATCATTGATTGGCTGCCTCCTGCACGTCCCCTACTGGGGATCAAGCCCACAACCTAGGCATGTGCCCTTTATCAGAATCGAACCTGGGACCCTTTAGTCACTGACGCTCTATCCACTGAGCCAAACCAGCTAGGGCAAAGTATAGTTTTTTAAAAAATTATATATATATTAGGGGCCCAGTGCATGAATTCATGCACCTTGAAAGGAACTGTGGGCCGTGAGTCTGCAGTGGGCACAGCGGCACGTCTCTGCCCATCCTCCGCGCCCCCACCCAGCCCCTTCCACCATGGCCCCTGGTCCTGTCTGCTGGCAGCCCCACTCCTGCTGCTGCAGCTCCCATGCACTGATGGTGCCAGTACGCTCGCATCCACTGATGACACAGTGATTAGGGCTGCACCAGCAGCAGGTACAAGCGGGGCCAGCGCTGTCAGCGGGTGCAAGTGGCGGCTGCTGCCCCAATTGCCACTCAGGAGCAGGGGGAGGTGGAGAAGCCCTCAGGGATGATCAGGGCCAGCAGCAGTTGCAAGCGCCAGGTGGGACCATGGCGCACGGGGGCAAAGAATTTTCAATAACCACCAGAGGCTTTCCCCGATGTCTGACTGGTGTCCCACCTTGGTCTGGTGCCCCTGCTCACCTGCTCCACCATCCTGCCTCAGCCAGCGCCCACCATGTTCCATGCTCTGCCCCCTGCTGCCAATATCCACCATGTTTTGTGCGTGCCCCCTGGTGGTCAGCACACGTCATAGCAACCAGTTGTTCCGTTCAGTCTATTTGCATTTTAGGGTTTTATATATAGAAGGTGTGTGTGTGTGTGTGAATCTTAATCCCACTTATTCTTCCAGGTCTTGCCATTTTTATTTCACTTATGGCAAGCCTCCTTAAGAGTTGTAAATACTCTGTGTCCAGTTCTTCTATACTCAAACCTACGCCACTCCACCAAAACTGTCTTGTCAAGGTAGCCAGTGGCACCTGCACTGCCAAATCCAGTGTCACTTCTCAGCCCTCATCTTCCTTCACCTATCTGCACTGTTGTCACAGTGTTCCCTTCCCCTGAAATGTTTTCTTTCACCTTCCAGATAGTACAGTCACCTGGTTTTCTCCTTACTTCACTATCATTCCATCTCATTGCCTTTTGCTTATTCTTATCAGCTCTCCACTCACTTAACGTTGGAGGGGCTTGATCCCTGAACCAGATCTCTTTCAGAATTCAGTTTTGATGATCTCACTCAGCCTCAGGGTTTTAAGTCCAAGTATCTGTTCCCACCAGAATATACTAGTAAGCTCTATGAGAAGAGAGAATTGTCGTTATTGTGTGTTCTGCTGTGACATACAATGCCTAGAAGAGTGCCTGGCACATAGTAGGTACTCAGTAAATGTTTTGACAGTTGAGTGATTGAGTCAAAGAAACTGCAGTGTTCCATCTGTTGAGCAAGATCATCTTCTTATCTTGGTAGACGTAAAGAAAGCTTAATTCTTAGTTGTTACAAATGTCATAGAAATATACCTTCTTAATTGTATAGTGTTAATTGGGTGAAGTTTGGCATAGATAACTTGTATTGGTGACCCACGTTATACTTTTTTATCTGTCCTCTCAGGATGTTTTTGATAGCTGTATATATCATATTAGGAACAGTGGTGAGAGTTAATTGTCATAACATTTTAGAAAGTGTTCCAGAACACAAATTAGAGGAATCTCTTGAAACAAATAGACTATCAGTGATAAGAGATAATTGGCATAGGAAAGAGATGAGCTGGCCCGGTGGTCAAAGATCCTGGGTTATATCCCAGCTCTAAAACTAGCTACTGACAAACCTGGCCAACTTCTCTGGTTGACAGCTTCCTCATCAGCAGAATTGGGGGGTTCATTAGAGCTGCTAACGCTCATCCAGCTTTACACATGGTGACACTGCTAACTGTAGAGCTCAGGATTCTACCCCGAGCTGCTCCTGGAGGTGCAGGTGCCTTTCTGTGCCCCGTGTGTCCCTCGTGGGCTGGGGACTGAACGTTCATGCACTGGACGTGGCCGGGGGAGCCTGCTCCTAGGGTGCTGTGGCATCTCAGGGGCCGGTGCTGATCTCACCACTTGCCTTCCTGGTTCATTGTTTTCTGTGTTCATTGTTTTACTGTGTAAGATCTTCATGAGTATTTGTTTACTGTCAAATACAGTGAAAAGTAACTTATGGTTAAAATGCAACTACCTAATAGGTATGAAGATATTACACAAAAATTAGGTATATCTTTAATTCTGCTGGCTGTGTATTGACTTGAGAACCTTTGTGCTCAGGGAGATGAAGCGTGTGCTTGGATGGTTTTGTTCACTTCATGTTCTTTTTCCTAACAGGGGGCATCTGAGAAAGACATCGTGCACTCCGGCTTAGCCTACACCATGGAGCGCTCAGCCAGGGTACGTGCACACGCTGCTGTTTCTATGGTGACTCAAAGGGCAGCCCAGTGTGGTCTCAGCCCCAGACTGTGCGTGAGCGTGTGATCCTCATTTGTGTGTGGCAAAGCACATGCTTTTTCGGTCTTGAATGATAGCCAGTGTTTTCAGGGTCTTGAATATGTTTATCAGGCTTATGGAAATAAGTAGTAATGCCAAGTAGGAGGAAGTGAGGTTTGGCTAAATATCAAGTAGTCAGCCAAAGTGGATTGGAGCTCAGTGCACATTCCATTATCCTATAGCACGTGACCTCACTATAGAATTTTATATAAATAAAAGGTTTTTGACCATTTGATTCTTATTTCAAGATCTTAAACACCGTTTAAGTTCAGTTTTCCTAATTTCTTGAGCAGATGCTACCTGCTTGGATTTAAGTTGGAATAGCACAACAGGTTTTACATACTATGAATTTATCCTTTTAAAGGATATAATTTTGCAGCCTTAAATACACTCAGAGAGCTACATAGCCATCACCACTAACTACAGGTCACTTTTCTCACCCCATTCTTAGTTCTTGCATATTATCACAGAGTATGTCAAATGAATTCATTCCTGATAACACGATGTCTGAAGAACACAGACCGCTCACACCCAAAATTCTGAAGAGCAGCTTCCTGCTGCTGCCTAGTCAGTGGTGTATTTAATGCCAGAGAATTAGTCCGTCCTGACTAGAGGTTCTTCCCCTGCCTAAGCAGTTTGTTTGGCTGCCCAAGTCCTACACTGACATGGGGACAGGCAACTTGTGCCAGGCCCTTACGTGCCTGTGTGTTCATGGCCTGGATGCTGTGTCGAGTGGTCGTCACTATTTTTTCTACTTTGTTTCAGCAAATCATGCGCACAGCCATGAAATATAACCTGGGATTGGACCTGAGAACAGCTGCCTACGTCAATGCCATTGAGAAAGTCTTCAAGGTGTACAATGAAGCCGGTTTGACCTTCACATAGATGGATTACCGCTGACTTCTTTACTACCCTCTTCACCTCTTCATTGTAGACCTATCACAAGTTTACATGTAACCACAGATCTTTCTCTCATTGCTTATTAGACAGTGGACAACATTCTCATAGGTTGACTCAAATGAGACCCTTAAGAAAAGAGAAATTAAGGTTAGGGAATCGTGTGCAAAACTAAAAGTAGATGCCAGAGAGCCATTTGGGTGTATCAGCAAAAGAGCTCAATTCTATAGATTACAAACAGAAATAAATGCTGTTTCTCTTTATGCATTTTATTCTTTTAGAATAAAACAAGTACATGCTGCTGTAATAAAATTGCCTTTAATCACTTACTAAGCCTAATCTAGACTAAGCAGTGAATGCCTATAAACATAATGAATGAAAAGCTAGTATTTTTATAACACAGTATCATTTATAGCTTATCAATAGTATGTTGTCCAACAAAACAAAAAGCCCAATGGAGAGCTAGTTATCTTCTTTCCTATCATTGCATAGCAAATGATGGCACCTATTTCTGTTGTGTGAGACTGTCAGAATTTATTAACCACATTGATGACATATAGTCCAAAGAATGTAGTAACCTCCTCATGTTAATTAATTGCTCTTCTCTTTTCAAAGTCTGTTGTGTTGCCTGATTGAACAGTAATTCAAATAGAGTGTCCCAGAAAAAACCACTTGGGCTCCCTCTTTGGAGTCTGGCTGGCAGCTCTGAGCATTGCCAATAATACCCAACTCACCCTGACTTTGTATCCCCTTCCAGGGGCCTCCCCTTCGGCACAGCTTCAACAGTGGCCTGGAGACAGCCTGGGGCTGGCAGTAACTACTTTGTAACTGCATGACTTAACCTGGTGATAAAAGCAGTTATTAAAAGTCTACCTTTTCCAAAGCTTATGTTTCTTTTCTGTTTCTGTATTTTAATAGTGTCTCTTAGTAGGTGATGAAAATACAATTGGGTTTCTGGAGTTTTTGAAACAACCACCTGAATAACATTACTATTGCTATGTTGTGAATGACCAAATTTCATTCTTAAATTCTTTTGTTTCATTATATTGAATAGGAAATGGCTCTCAAGTTGATACACTGAAGTAATCTCTTCAGTGCCTGTTTTTAATGAAGGAAGGTTTCATTGCTTAGGGTTTGTTTTTTAATTATTTAATCACAGAACGTATGAGTTTAAGGCAATACTAACCATAATCAGCAAAAATGGATTCTAGACCTGCTTCCACCAATGACTTAGCTGCCAGATCTGGACTCTGCTTCATCCTGAGTAGGCCCCATGGACCAGGAGCCCTTCCCAAGTGCTATTTGCCGGCCCCCCAGGCAGAGCACTAGATGTGCTGGAGAAGGTGCTGAAAACAAGTGTCAGAAGAGAACAGCACTGGTGGACAGTAAGTTCAGGTCATGTGATGATCAGGTCTTAGTCTTGGCCTTTGGCTAATTTACTGGGAGTAGGCATAACTTTTTTAAAGATTTAATAAGCATTGATGTGTGTTATTGATATTAATGTTAGAAAAGGTGTAATGTCTATGCTAGCTATAGAAAGGCAACATAGCACAAGTAACAACTTTGGTTCCTGGATCTTTGAGTTAGAAAATTCTGGTCAATTTAAGTTGCCTCATGAACCCCTGCACTAGAATGTAGTTTACCCTGATGGATAAAGTTAGGGGAGGTTTTTTGTTGTTTTTTTAAGCTATGTTTCTGGCAACTTAATTACTAGGATTGGTGATTTACTTTTTTAATTTTTTTTTAATGTTTTGATTTTTAGTGAGAGGGAGAGAGAGAAAGAAACATTGATGTTTCCATAGAACTGCTGCCTCCCAGATGCCCCCCACTGAGGATGGAGCCTGCAACCCGGGCACATGTCCTGACCAGGAATTGCACTGTAGCCTCCGGGCTCATGTGTCAGTGTTCGACCACTGAGCCACACTGGCAAGGCTGATTTACTATTTTTCAAAAAAAAAAAGCCTGATCTTGGTTCAATTGTTTGGAGCATTGCATTGTCCTCTACACCAAAAGGTTGCGGGTTCGATCCCCAGTTAGGGTGGGCGGAGGGGAGCAACCGGTTGATGTATCTCTTTCACATGGCTGTTTCTCTTCCTCTCTAAAATCAGTAAACATACTCTCAGGTGAGGATTTAAGAAAAAAGCCTGGCATCTTAACTCACAAGCTTTAAACGCCCTGAACATCCTGGCAGGCTCCCTGACCCTGTCACACATTAAGGCCGTATATTGATGATGTCAAAGGACATCGTCAAGAAAAGTAGCCCAGCAGGCGTGGCTCTCGTTGAGCATCCACCTATGAACCAGGAGGTCTTGGTTCCAGTCCTGATCAAGGCACATGCCCAGCTTGTGGGCTCAATCCCCAGTAGGGGGCGTGCAGCTGATCAATGATTCTCTCATTGATGTTTCCATCTCTCCTTTTCCCTTCCCCTCAGAAATCAATAAAAATATATTTTTAAAGTAGACCAATAGAATGAGAAAAGATTTGCAAATTGTTTGCATCACATATCCAGACTATATAAAGAATTTTCACAACAATAAAAAATAAAAACCTCATTTTAAAATGGGCAAAAAATTTGAATAGGATAAAAATATTTAAAATTGTTTGAAATGGTGGCTTCGGGAGTGAAAAATGGTGAGGTGGGTATGCATTAGAGGAGACAAGCTAGTCACAGTAAGAACTGGTTGGCTCTACACCAGTAATTCTCAATAGGGAGTGACTATTTCAGATATACAGCATAATAGTTAGATAATTACATAACTTATGAAGTAATCCCCTGATAATTCTAGTACTCATCTGACACCATACATAATCATTACAATATTGGCTATATATAGTCCCTATGTTGAACTTGACTGAACACATTTTTGTCACAACTGGGGGCGCTAAACATCCCACAATGCACAAGATAGTCCAAAATTTCAATAGTGCTGATGTTGACAAACTGCCTAAACTACGTGAGACTTTGATCTAAAAACAAACACAAGCCAATAAAAGTCATTTGAATAAATTTAAAAATAATAACCATATTACAAGACAAAAAAATTTCTCTGCAAAGACAACCACTCACAACAATTTTATTTTTATTCTATTTAAATCCTTTGCCTATTTTTAAATTATTTTGTTGAGTTTATATAGTCTGGATATGTGACTCATAATTTGCAAATCTTTTGTCTCATTCCATTGGTTTGTCTTTTTCTTGATGTTCTTTGACACAAAATCATTTTGATAGTGTTCAAGATATTTTTCTTTGGTTGTTACGCCTTTCTAAGAAATCAATGCCTAATCCAAAGTCACATATGCTTGATGAATTCTAACAAATATTTGAGGAATTACCACCAATCCTAGTCAAATCGTTTCAAAAAGACAAGATGAGGGAACACTTTCTAACATCTGTGAAGTATTATCCTGATACCAAAACCAAAGATCACAAGAAAACTGCACGCCAGTGTCCCTTATGAATATAGATATAAAAATATTAACAATCCCTGCCCTAGCTGGTTTGGCCTAGTGGATAGAGCTTCGGCCTGTGGACTGAAGTGTTCCTGGTTCAATTCCGGTCAAGGGCACATGCCTGGGTTGCGGGCTCAGTCTCCAGTAGGGGGCATGCAGGAGGCAGCCAATCAATGATTCTCTGTCATCATTGATGTTTTTATCTCTTCCTCTCTGAAATCAATAAAAAATATATATTCAAAAAAAATATTAACAATCCAACAGCTCATAAGTATACATCATGACCAGGTAGGATTTATCCCAAGAATGCAAGAGTGCTTCAATAATAAAGTCAATGTTATATACCCACAAATAGAATGGAGGAGGGGGAGAATCATAATCATCTCAATAAATGCGGGAAAAAAACTTGATAAAATCCAAGATCCTCTCACAATAAAACCACATAATAGAAGGGACTTCAACATAATAAAGGGCATTTACAGAAATTAAAATGGCCTCACTGGTGAAAAACAATGCTAGCCTTTAGTAGGTACAAAGATTCTTGTCTTCACCAGTTATTCAACATTGTACTGTCTTAAGTCCTAGCCAGAGCAATTAGGCAAGAAAAATTCAAGTCATCTGAAATGGAAAGGAAGAAATAAAACTATATGTAAAGATTACATTATTCTATATATAAAAAATCCCATAGAGTACACAAAAACCCCTGGGGCTAATGTGTTAAGCAAAATTACAGCGTATAGGATCAATACACAAAAAAACAGCTTTTTTTTCCTATACACAAACATCTGTAAAGGAAATTTAAATTCTAGTCTGGCTGGTATGGCTAAGTGATTGAATGTCAACTCATGGACCAAAAGGTCCCCTGTTTGATTCCTATGGGCTCGCTCCCCAGTAGGGGGCATGCAGAAGGCAGCCAATCGGTGTTTCTGTTCCTCTCTAAAAATCAACATTTAAAAAAAAAGAAAACTATATTTACAACTAGAGGCCCAGTACACAAAATTCGACAGTCAGATATCCCTCTCACAATCCAGGACTGCTGGCTCCCAACTGCTCGTCTGCCTGCCTGCCTGATTGCCCCTAACTGCTTCCGCCTGCCAGCCTGATCACCCCCTAACCACTCACCTGCCAGCCCGATTGCCCCTAACTGCCCTCTCCTGCCGGTCTGGTCGCCCCCAACTGCCCTCCCTGCTGGCCTGATTGCCCACAACTGCCCTCCCCTGCCAGCCATCTTGTGGCTGTGGGTGCCACCATCTTTGAGGGTGGGACTGTCAACTAGCATATTCCCTCCTTATTGGCTGCTGTACTGCACCTTTGCGATGGCATGATGATCAATTATATTCCCTCTTTATTAGGATAGCATCTAAAAATAAAATATTTAAGAATAAATTTAAGGAGGTAAAAGCCCTTGACACTGAAAACTACAAAATAGTTTAAAAGAAGTTAAAGAATAACTTGATGGAAAGACATCCCATGTTATAGATAAAAATCTTAATATTATTAAGCAGGCATTACTTAAGGCAATCAATAGATTCAAAATTCTAATTCAAACTTCTGATGACATTTTGTAGAAATAGAGAATCTGATCCTAAAATCAATATGAAACTTCAAGTGGCCCCAAATAACCAAAATATTGAAAAAGATAAAGTTGGAGATCTCATTCAGTTTCAAAACTTAATGCAAAGCTACAGTAATTAAAACTGGTACTGGCATACAAACATATAGACCAGTGGTAGAGTCCAGAACATTAGGGCTGATTGCTCTCAGCCTCATGCCAGCACTGTGTTTCCTAAAGCTGTCTTCACCAAGGGCCACAAAATGGAAGGTGTGAAGTTTACACTGTAAACCAACAGACCTTTATTGTCTCACAGTTTGAGTGGCTTCAAATTAGTGTCTGAAAGGCCGTGCTCCCTCTGAAACTGGAGGGGGGATTCTTGACTCTTCCTAGTTTGCAGTGTTGGCCATTAATCCTCGACACTGGCTGTCGCGGCATCAC